GTAAAAACCACCAATAACTTTATACAAATGAAGAGCATCCCTAATCTTTTCATTAACTACAACACGTCCCTACCCAAACCCTTGGCTGAGATGCTAAATAGCAAATATAATTCTCTAATACGTTAATGTATATGGGAAGTCAATTAGATATTCTTTTCATTATCTACAACATTTCCCTACCCAAACCTTTGGCTGAGAAGGTGCTCAATGGCAAACATATTTCTCTAATACATAAATTTATATGGGAAGCGAATTAGATATCCTTTTCATTAACTACAACACTTCCCTACCCAAACACTTGGCTGAGAAGATGCAAATATATTTTCAGCTTTACTTTTTTTTTTTTTTTTTGTGAGGAAGATCAGCCCTGAGCTAACATCCATGCCAATCCTCCTCTTTTTTTTTGCTGAGGAAGACTGGCCCTGAGCTAATATCTATTGCCAATCCTCCTCCTTCTTTTCCCTTTTTCTCCCCAAAGCCTCAGTAGATAGTTGTATGTCATAGTTGCACATCTTTCTTAGTTGCTGTATGTGGGGCGCGGCCTCAGCATGGCCGGACAAGCAGTGCTTCGGTGTGCGCCCAGGATCCGAACCGGGCCGCCAGTAGCGGAGCGAGCGCACTTAACCGCTAAGGCATGGGGCTGGCCCCTCAGCTTTACTTTTGAAGATGGAGACCTAGTTACCAACACTGTTGTCATCATTCTATATACAAAGACTGCCATTTGGAATAAGGATCCCAGGATCCAGACCCAGCTCTTCTACAGTTATATATAGGGATTTATAAAAATAACCTTTTTTGTTAGACTGATTTCCAGCTCCCCAAAATAGAAAAACCCAGAGTCGATAATTCAATGTGTGGCCGGCAGGTGGCAGTGATGCTGCATGATTAATTCCAAAGACGTCCTGGGAGTGTGAAATCATAAAATATACTCCAGATCCTGTGAACCATCCCTCCCTTTTAAAAGTGTAATGACTTCATCCTTTTTAGAGACACTAGCTCGTCAGAGAATATTCAAGCCATAGAGACTTCTTTAGAAGTCAATCACCTCCAACCCCTTAGTCACAGATGGAAGGATGGAACGATGGGACAGAGAGGGGAGTGGGGATGAAGGATGGGATGATGAGTGAAGCAGATACTCCAAAACACTTTTTCTTGTTTATATTCTTTTTATGTCATCCCGCTTTTTAATATCTGCTCTGTGGGCTGAAAACACGACTCCCCCAGCTGTTTAGGGTTGAGTCTATATTTATTTATTTAAATGGCTTTACTTTCACCTGTGGCCCTTCCTCCACAGCTGACCATTCCTGAGCCCTCTATGGATCCGTCTCTTCCTCTCCGGGAAATGTTTAAGAGGTTCTCACAGCACGCTGGCCGCCTGAGCTCCTTCATGTCTGAGACACCTGCCCGGACACAGAAGCGTGAGCTCAGCTGGGTCTCGGATGCCTGATCCCACCTTCTTTCCCTCGGATCCTCGAGACACCACCCCTCCTGTGGTAATTAAACACCTCAGTAGACAAGTCCAATTCCAGCCTGCTGTCTCCCACAAGCCTTCCGTAGAATGACTCTCTTGTTCCCTCTTCCCCACGGCAGTTTAGTATTCATCAAAGTTATATCTCGAGGTGGATCATTCTGAGGACCCACGGGGCCAGCCCTTCCATCACTTTTTTGAAGCCCTGGATGAGATGAAACGGAGCCAGGCTGGATAGAGCCACTGAGATGAGAGATCTGGGTTCTGCAATTGCTTCTGAGAACTAGTTAAATAACCTGAACCGGGCACCTTCAACCCAGCTGAGAAGTCATGTCCCTCCTACCCTACCCTCGGCCTTGGGGTCAAACTCCAACTTGCCATAGAAAGATGGCGGTTCCCAGGACGCATCTACACACCCCAGAGCCTGTAGGGACACAGGAGGGCTTTCATTTTTGATGGTATTTGTCATCTTGTCCCAGGACTTGTCTTGGGCCCTGGGAACCCACTTTACTCCAATTCTCAGGACTTTTCCCATCTTCTTTCCTTCCCCATATTGCCCCTTGAGGATGGGGGAGGGTTCAGAGCCACACCAAACTTGTCCAAATGGCACCACCATCTCTGTCACGGATGGAGCCAACTGGTCCTCCTCTCTGGGCTGCTGCTGATGAACTTGTGGTATTTCATTGTGATCGTCCATCTCACTGGGCATCAAGGAAAGACCATCCTGAGATCTCGATTTTTTCCATCAGCTTCACGCAGATGCCCCGATCCCTCCTACAGGAAGACCTCCCTTTGGCTTGGCTTGGATTGAAATGTTATGTAACGCACGCACAAACAGAAAGGCAGACATCTGTCCTTTAAGTCACAGCTTCGTCAACGTTACAAACCCCAAACAAAGGTATAAACACCAAGAAAACCCACAACAATCAAGTAGATTGAAATTCATAGGAATTGAATGGGAAGAATACTGTGTTCATGAGACTGAAGTGCTCTCTCCACTGTGAACACGGTTCTGGTTATTCTGAGATGGGTGTGGACCACAATCTGGGCCATGGGATTAGAGTCTCCTGATGGTTTTCTCTCTTGGTGTCTCCACAAAATCTCTGTTGGCACTAGAGTCTCTGATTTTCAGGACCTGTGACAATCCATGCCGGTCCCACGAGTGGCCAAAGGATTCGGAATACACACCTGCTTCTGAAAGAGCATGGTGGTCCTTGGTAAAGAGGTGGTGCCCATGTGATTGAGAATAGGTGGTAAGATCATCCACAAAAGAAAAATCCTTTTGAATGATTCTGATTCAGACAAAGCTTGGGCCTCAGTTTGAAAAGTATTCGTACACACTCTGAAATGACGGAATAGGATTAAAATCAGATATCTAGGAATTAGAAAGATGGTGTGTGTAGGAGTCAGGGTTCTCCAGAGAAACAGACCCAAAAGGATGTACACAGATATACAGAGCGAGATTTATTATGAGGGACTGGCTCACACAATGCAGCTGAGAAGTCCCATGATCTGATGTATATAAGCTGAAGGCTCAGAAAGTTGGTGTGTAATTCAATTCAGTCCAAAGAATCAAGCACCAGGAGTACCCATGTCCTACGGCAGAAGATGGATGTCCCAGCAGCAGCAAAGAGCAAATTTCCCCTTCCTCTGCCTTTTGGTTCTATTCAGGCCCTCAACTGATTGCATAAGGACCACCCACACTGGAGAAGGCCATCTGCTTTACTCAGTCTACCGATTCAAATGCTAATCTCTTCCACAAACACCCCCACAGTCACACCCAGAAATCACATTTTACCAGCTCTCTGGGCATCCCTCAGCCCAGCCAACTTGACACGTTAAACGAACCACTACAGTTGGAAAGGGTTTTCCAAGGGGTACTCAACAGAGCCTGATTGTCTGCTAAACATTTTGCGTGAATGCTGATTTTCTTAAAAATCCCATTACACGTGTGGCCCCCGGTGGCAGAACAGGGAGCAGGTCTACACATAAGGGAAGAGCTTAACTGACAGATTCTTCATATTCCAACTGGAACAAACAGATGTCCTTTATGTAATGCAAATAAGGCACTTCCTGGGGCCACATCCGGGCTACGGGGAGCTCGTCATACATCAGGAGGAATGGAGAACTAGGAAAAGCTAATTTTCTACCTCCTCCGTCTCCATCATCCAAACCTGAGAATCCTTCAATTGGTTTGGGTGGATGTCAAATTATGACTCAATAATTAATGTACAAAGTCGCCTGGACGTAATTTATTCCACATTATAGTGACATATAGGGTGCCTTCCACAGAAACATTTGCTAAAATTTAAAGATCGGTTGCTTATAATCTACAAGAAACCCCTCTCCCAAACCTATTGAAATAGACAGAAAAATACAACCTCCCTTCAACCCCCTCCCCAAATCCATCCATTACGAGATCATAGTAATTCCAGTCAGAAACCAAGGGTCTAAAAACGCCTTTGAATGTGAGGATTTAAAATGAGAAAACTTGAAACATCAGACACTCATCCAATGTATTTGCTCAGAAATCGGGGATGGAGAAATGACAGCCTCATTTAATACTATTTGTTTTCCAAATAAGGGGCACTCTTATTTTCCTTCTCTGAGGACAGAATTCTGCAGATTCAGCCTCAAGAGCAATGAGCATGTGGGTCAACCTTAATCTCTCGGAGTCATATTCAAGTGGGAGATTTTGCTGAAACCTCTCAGGATGCAGAGCCATGTGACCTGGCAGCTGGGTTCAAGGGCTCCAGGGGGGATGAAAGCTTCACCTATTGAACCTGAAAGTTTTGGGGCTCCCTCCAATATCTGGATGAGACTGGACACCTCTTCTCAATGGATGTATGAGTTTCCTGTGGTTGCTGTAACAAATGAGACAAACTGGGTGGCTTAAACCAATGCAGACTGATTATTTTATAGTTCTGGAGGTCAGAATTTTAACACGGGTCTCAGGGGACTAAAATCAAGGTGTCAGCAGGGCTGCGTTCCTTCTGGAGGCTCTAGGAGATGACCCATCCCCTTGTCTTCTCCAGGTTCCGGAGGCCACCTGCATTCCTTGGCTCATGGCCCCTTCCTCCATCCTTGAAGCCAGGAGTGCATCTTCCCATCTCTCTCTGCCTTATCTGTGCTTCTTTTATCACATCTTTTTCTCTCATCAAATCTCCCTCTGCCTCCCTCTTACAAGAACCCTGGTGATGACCTTGGGTCCACGTGGATCATCAAGAACCATCTCCCCATGTCGAGGTCCTTAACCGAATCACACCTGCAAAGATCCTGTTTCCATAGAAGGTAGCGTTTACAGGTTCAAAGGGATTAAGAAGTGGACATCTTTGGGGGGAGGCATTATTTGGTGTACCACAAAGCATAATTGCACAATGATCTAAATGAATGCAGAAGGCCCTAATGCCAGAGCAAACAGAAGACTAGCTTTCCCCCCTCCATCCCCCTCCCCCTAGGAACAAGGAAGCAGGCTCATTGGGGTGCCAGCGTCTGATTCTCCGTCACACCTGTGTAGGGTACAAGTACTTACGTCTTCTGAATGGCCTCCTTCAGGTGAGGGTGGGGTCTCGTCCACTCTCACGCTCAGCTCCGAAGGGTCCTCAGCAGGCCAAGGCTGGCTGGACCCTGCCATTGAATTTGCACGTGTCTCCCCGGCACTGGGCACAGAATTTGCACATGGCTCCTCAGCGCTGGACGCTGAATTGGCATATGGCGCCCCAACACCACTGAGGCTAGCCTGCACAGAAAGTGGACACTGTTAGTAAGTCCTCCTTACATCTTTCCAACTCTCCAGCTACCCTCGAGGCCCCAGGACCCATCCCATCCTCTGTGTGGCCAGGGCTCCTTAGCACTATCTTCTGTATACAATAAACATAAGCTTGACCAATGAATGCCACACAGACTTGTGAAATGGGTCCCAGGAGACTATAATGTTCTGAGCAGGCCGTGCACAAAGCCGGATGCTCTAAAGACGAGAGTGAGTGGTCCCATATCCCTGACGTGACAACTCACAAAATTAGTTGTGTTTAAACAGGCAGCAGATAGGTGGTCCTCGAGAAAGCTGCCCCACCTGGCACACATTTCCTAGACAGCTCTCAATGTTTTCTTTCTCAGAACCACCTGCCTCAAGTCTTATTATCCTTCACATACAATCTGAGGCTTAGCAACCCGCGTGGCAGAAAACAAGCGGCAACGAATTCAGCAAGATGCATACAAATAACCTATTCGCTTGTGTCACATGAGCAGGGGAACTGGCAGTTCATCCTGCAGAGGAGAACCAAGCTCCACCACGCAAAAGCCAGAGGAAAGACTAAAAGATGAATTCCTTTCGATTTCCCAAGCAATGCATTTGCTGATAATTGATTCCGTCGCACCAGGAAATGTGATCGTAAAAAACTGACCAAAGAATAAAGCTTTCTGGGACCTCATTGCAAAAGGTGCTTTGCAAGGAAGATGTATCCACATGACACGGACGGAGGAAACGTCACTGTCTGGTGCATTCAGGGTTATCAGAAAGTCTTTAAAAAACCAAATTGATGTCAATCAAAAATGTTTAAAATCCTCTTCAGAAACTTTCTCCAGCTGCTACTTCAAACGATGATTTAAAGTGGAAAATGTCTCCTCGAACGACATTGTAATCAATCCTCTCCAGCCACTCATCTGCGAGGGGCTCTCACCCTGATGAACGCAGGTCATTTAAATAATCTATTATTCATGAGTCGTCTACATCACAGCAGCATTTCTGCTCATTAACCATTCACTATTGTGAGCCAAAAAAAAACCATGTTGCCTGTTTCTTTAGCATCCTTCTGCCTGAAATACGGTACACGGAAACAGCCAGTGTATTTGAAGAAAATACACTGGGCGCCGATCATGGAGAGTTTATCCCCGTTGTCAACTCCTGGCTTTCAAGAGAATCACCTGCTTACCGTGTGTCCTGGAGATGCGTGCTCTTCCTCGTCCCGGAGGCTTTCATAAAGAGGCAGGATGCTGCGATGGTAGATGCTCCACCAGAGGTTGAGAAATGATGCCTGGTGCTGGTGGACCACCCCGGAGCCCTCCTGCAAAACCGAGCCAGTCTGCGGATTGTACTTGTAGTTCCAAGGCTTTGAAGACCCCAAAAAGTGGACCACCTTCGCACTAGAACCGAACCTGAGAAGGAAACGCAAAGCATTCTCCTTTCCACTCGGAAGGGATCAGACACGCACAGAAAGCATTCATCAAACATGAGACTGGTCAAACACAGAGGCGTATGAACATTTGTCTCAACACATTATCGACAATCATGTAATTACACCGACTTTGACTTGCAGTTACTTTAAAGATAATTTTTTAAACCATCAACATTTGCAGTATTTCATTTTCTATACACCAAGAAAGGTAATCCTAACCCATTGGGATATGCCTCAAAACTGGAAGAATAAATCTAGAGTCTTATAAAGATGCACTCTATGGTGGCCCAGACCATCATCTCCTTTAAAAGATAGGCACATGGGGGCTGGCCCAGTGGCGTAGCACTTAAGTTTGTGTGCCCTGCTTTGGTGGCCCGGGGTTCTGGGGTCAGATCCCGGGTGTGGACCTACGCACCGCTCATCAAGCCATCCTGTGGTGGCGTCTCACATATAAAGTAGAGGAAGACGGACACGGATGTTAGCCCAGGACCAATCTTCCTCAGCAAAAAGAGGAAGATTAGCAACAGATGTTAGCTCAGGGCCAATCTTTCTCACCACACACACACAAAAAAAGATAGGGACAAAACAATAATGGCTTGTATAGTAGATAACACAAGCTGCAAACCAGAATATTGGTTTCTTTTACGAAATTATGAATTTTCTCCTCTCAACCATTTCTTTTCCGCATTATCATCACTCCCGTCATCCAGGAACCTTTTTAAACATTGTTTTTGTGTAATCGCCTTCCCATGAAATTTTAATACCACATTCTCACTAGATGTCTATGTTTTGTAAGTACCTCTGTGCTTTATGCATTAAAAGGGATATGATTTTTTCACTCCCCAAGAACCAATTTCTGCCTTCTTGGGGGCAATATGGCCCCCGTTAAAAATGCACGTTCTAGAATGATTCATCCCCTAGATCCTTCTCAGATTTTCTATTTTCATTCATAATAATGTCACCTATAGCAGCAGATCTCAAAATTTTGGTCCTAGGACCTCCTGACATTCTTAGAAATCACTGAAGACCAAAAGAGCTTTCTTCACGTGGATTCTATCTATACATATATTTTCTGCAGCAGAAATTAAAACGGAGAAATTAAAAAATATATTTACCAATTCATTAAAAAACAAACAACCCATTATATGTCAACACAACTTTCATATTTTTTCTTGAAAAAAAATAACTATATTTTCAAAAAAACTTGTAGAAAGAGTGACATCGACCATCTTAAGAGGAGACAGATGGTTTCTCATATCTGGGTGTGCATTCAGTGCATCTCTTTATCACGACATAGAGTTTCTGTAAAATCTCACGGTCCACTTACGAGAAAATGACAGTGAAAAAGGAAAATATGATCTTAGAATTATTTTTTTAAGTCGTTTTGACTTTGCAGACACTGGAAAGACCTGCGGGGAAACCCGCAGGGTTCCCTGGACGACAGTTTGGGAGCCACTATCATTAAGACTAATTGCCTTGACTACCTATCATTTAAAGCAATGAGCAAGCAGGGGATGATCTAATCTTTTTTTTCCAAAATGCCGAAAGCTGGTATACATCCTGAGAGACAAGGTGGTGACGTGGCGGCAGGCCCAGAAGGATCCGGCACGGTGGAGAACTCACTGTTTGAAAGCAGGGCTGTAGGTGTAGGTTGTGTTACTGCTCAGGTTATAGATGAACGGCAAATGCTTGTGGATATCGGCCGTCGACCAGCTACTGAAGAAACTGTTCAATAAGCCTTGATCTGCTCCTAGATAATTAACAAGACACCCAGCGAGATTAAGGATGTACCGTGCAGTATCCTGAAAGAATGCACGATGTGTTTGAAGACAGAACACCGGAATTCTACGCCACTAATTGTATTTCTTCTCTCTGCCCGCTAAAACATCCTCATTGTCTCAAAAGTGACTAATAACCCGTGCCACTAATTTAAAAAAGGCACAGTCTCTCCAAAATTCTCCACCAATAACCCAAACAATTAATAATAAAATCACCCATTGTCTCCAAAATTCTCCACTCCAATCCCCATAAATTCTATCTGGTAGCAACAATACTCTGTCCCTACCATTTTTGCCAGGTTTATTAACTCCTCATCCTTACCTAGAGGGAATTCTTCATTGGTCTAGTATTTCCTTTTACGTTACAAAAATTCTAGCACTTTTCCCATCTATTCATGCCCGTTCAGATATCTGGCTTCTGGTTGGCTCATTTCAATTTTTTCCCTTTATTCTATATCAGGAGTCAGCCAACTATACCCTGTATCTATTTTTGTAAATGAAGTTTTATTGGAACACAGCCACGCTCATTTGTTGAAGTCTTGCCAATGGCTTCCTTCACCTCACAACCGTAGGGATGAATATTTGCCACAGAGATCACAGGGCCCACGATGCTAAATATTTATTGTCAGGCCCTTTAGAGCAAGCTTTGCCTATCCATTCTGTAGGATGGGGACCGGGGAGTCATTCTTTCTACCCATTGAGGATAGTTTCAATGGTTCTCTCTGTTTTGTGTATTTACTTACTAACTTCTTCATGTATTCCTATTATCCTGCCTGGCCTTACTCCTCTATCTCCATCTTTAACTGACTTCAACTCGCCACTCTCAAATATGGGGTGGGAAATGAGGAGGAGGCGGAGGTAGGGATACTGCCAACAGCCCCATTCTCTTCCACAAATTCCCGGCTTCCCCTCGCCTACCGTCAAAGCTGCCATGGTCGGTGGCATGCTGCAGCAGGAGGCTATGAGTCTCGAGGGAAGGTTGGAAAACAAACACACCGCTGTTGAAGCAGTCCGGCCAGCCAGGATCCGGGGCTGCAGAAAACTCGCCCCTCTCGAACAGCTCATCGATATTGGACAGTACCTGGGGGAGCGGAGGGTGGGGAACCTGTAGCAACTCTTCTCTTACCTCTGGTCCACAAGTGAGAAATCCAGCGGGAGCTTTAGGACGGGCCAGACAAGTGGTCACTGAGCGAGCGGAAACCTGTGCCCAATGTTTCGAGTGACACTTCTCTTGTAGGTTTATATTCAAAAGAGAAGAGTGCGTGCTTAAGATTGCTCTCCAGTTTATTTCAAGTGATTGCAACAGCACTGTCTCTGAAATTCAATTATTTTCTCGAGGTTCCTAAGATTCTCCACGGAACTTGCTTAACTGTATAACCTCTTGAATCCGGCAAATGCGATTAATGAAACTATGGAAACCGTGAACGGAGAGGTTTGCAAGTCAATATCACGGAATCTGTTGCCTTCCAGGGCTTGACGACTGACTACAGACCCCCCCTAACACCTACTAGCTTTCTAAATTATGCTCTGTTTGGAAATTTTAAAAAAATCACTCTGATTGCACTATTGTTCCTATATTCCTCTGCATCTCTTTCTCTTCCTACAGAGGTGCTTCTGCATGACTAGGACAATCCAGAACAGATTGCCAACTCCCCTCCAATTTCATTTTACGTTTCAACTTTGCAATACTGATTTTGAAAGTGGCCACCAGGGGCTCCCACACGGCAGGTCACAACCCCAAATGACCCCTGGGGGATGCCATAGCTCAACAGACCAGGCACACCAGTCCAATGAGGACTACACAATTCAATATACAATCCAGGAATAATATATTTGTTTCCAATTATTCCATTCTGTGTAGATGAAATAATGTGATTACAAACACCTCCCAGGGAAGATACACACTGTCAAGTCCCTCAGTGTCTACAGCAGGGTGTAGTGCTGTGCTGGTGGGTATGTTATCCCGGATTTTAATGGACTGAACGTTGATGGTGGTAAAAGACACACGTTACCTCATGGGAATCCACCAGCAAGAGCTAGCAGCCTGGGTAAGTTGGGAGAGGCATGGTCTTTGACGGGCTCCTTATCAAGTGGAGAGTCTGGTCCTCACCCTCCCCTGTACTCACCAGGGTGTCTGCATCCAGGAAGACACACTTGCTATAGTGGGTCAGTGTCCAACAGTGAAGCTTGGTGAGGGTAACTCCAAGCTCAGGTCTCTTCAGAATGGCCAGGTGGATGTAGTCGGCACTGTCTATCAGGTTCACCTCAATTACCTCATCAAACACCCTCGAGAGGATAACCCTGGAAAAGACACACGCCAAACAGTGGGAGAACGGGAGAACATTGAACACAGGACACGCTATCTTTCAGGAGGACACACGTTGGCTGCTCACAAACATGGAACGTGGATACAAAACCCCATCACACTCACCGCAATCTTCATATTCAGGCTTTATTCTTTCCATGGATGTCTTAGAGCTTTGCACATTTTCTACTTATGCTCAAAACTTATGCAAACTTGAACAACTTGACAAATTGTACAGAATTGGTTTAAGATAGACTGATTTGGGCTATCTCTTAGGAAGGCACTTCTCTTTGCAAAATGCACAGGTAGTGAGGAACGAATGCCGAGCAGGTAGAAACAATCTACAATCTCTGTCAGTTTTTACTTTGTGTATTCAAAACCCACGTTGTTAGCTGCATACAAGTCTAAGTCCCAAATTTTGAAAGATCGTGGGGCCGGCCCAGTGGCGCAAGTAGTTAAGTGCGCGTGATCCGCTGTGGTGGCCCAGGGTTCGCCGGTTCGGATCCCAGGCGTGCACCGACGCACTGCTCGGCAAGCCGTGCTGTGACGGGATCCCATATAAAGTGGAGGAAGATGGGCACGGATGTTAGCCCAGGGCCAGTCTTCCTCAGCAAAAAAAAAAAAAGAGGAGGACTGGCGGATGTTAGCACAGGGCTGATCTCCTCACAAAAAAAAAAGAAAAAGAAAGAAAGATTGTACCTTTCATCAAAATGAAATCTGCCTGTGTTCCACTTAATTTTTTTTTTTTTTTTTTTTGCTTAAGTTCTCCTTCATCACAGCTAGCAAATCTTGTGATGACAGAAACTTAAGGAAGTGCTAGAAAAAGGGTGGGGGCACATCAAAAGGATTCAGGGAACCAACCAGGAGGAGCTCCCAATGGCCAAAGCTGAAGCAATTTGATCAAGAAAATAAATGACAAACCCAAAATATAAAATGAATACTCATGGGTTCATACGGATATAATAATTGAATAAACAAGTAAATGGGAAGAAGAGGCAGCTCTTCCTTACAGAAGAATTCCAAGTAATACATGTAAAAGGAATGAGGGAAATAGAAAATCAGCATTAGGCAAACACCACAGATAACTGTTGAGACCAGATTCACTGATGGATGCTAAAACCAATGGGTAAAGGTTTTGAGGAGAAATAGCATGTTCTCATAGTCTAAAAGTATCTCTCCCAAGATATTTATCAACTACAAAGAGAAAAATAATAACAGTGGAGAAACACCATAGATACCACCTTATCCAAATGACTGAGAGTGACATTATCAGTAACAAGATGTAGCAACACCACGTTCTCCCTGATACGATGCACTAAGAAAGGTACATCACTTCTGAGGGCTCTTCTTTTTGCCAAAAATGCATAACGACAATATAATCATGAGAAAACACTGGACCAACCCAAGTGGAAAGGCAATCTATAAGACAACTGACCAGTACTCTTCAAAAATACCAAGGTCATGACACGTAAGGAAGGAAGGAACAACTGTCATAGATGGGAGGAGACTAGAGAAGACACGACAATGAATGCCATGCTGGGTCCTGGATTGGACAGGGGAACAGGATCATATCATATCATATGCATCCCTTTATTTTCAAGATTTGTTGTTGTTATTTAAGCTGTCTCCTGTACACATACAGCATATGGCTGAAGTTTAGGTTTCTTTTCCCATGTTCAAAGTCTCTGTCTTTTAAAAGGGATTTTTAACCCATTCACCTTTATTATAAACATTGATCTATTTGAATTAAGTTCTGCAGTGTTTTTGTTTTTTCTTTTTTCACATTTATCCTACTTTCTTCTTCTTTGTAATCCTTTCCAACCATTTATGGCATGGATTGGGTTTTTTTCCATTCCATGCATTTTCCATCAATGCTTTGAGAGTTATACATATCCTTTTGACTCTCCCAGTCGTTACAACCCTTTGACTGTCAACAATCATATTTAAATATATTTTCTGTCCAATGTAAAGACAGTCATCATCTATATCTTCCCCCTAGACAAGACAGGAACATCAGTGGATGTTCACCCATCTTCCTCCTGGCTGCTCCCCCAATCACTCCCAGAGTGGAGTGTTAATTCCAGATTATTTTCATAATTATGCACAAACATATTTCCAGTTTTACTCATTTCTTTGTTTAGCACTGCTCCTTCTATACTATTTCTCCTTTCCTGGATTCACATTTCATTTTGCTTGAGTATATCCTCAAACAATTTTTTTTCTCAAAGGTCTTTGAGGAATAAATTTTTTGAGCTTTTGTATATCTGAAACATCTTTATTTTGCTTTCAAATTACACTAATTTGGCTGAGTACAGGAATCTCATTTCAAAATTATTTTGCCCCAGAACTTTGAGACATCAACCATCTCAACCAGACTGACAGCGAAATGCATTTAGGACTTTTTCTTCATTCTTGGTGTTTTGAAATACCACCCGTTTGTGTCAACATTTGGGTTTTCTTCATTCCTTCTGCCCAACACTCAGGGAACATTCTCAATCTAAAATCCTTTCTCAGAGTTGAAATAGGACATGAGCTATTTCCTCTAATCCGTTCTCTCTGCTTTTTTTCTTTTAGAAACTCCTATTATTAGACAGATGTTGGAGCTTCTGGGTCTATCTTTTCTATCCATTAGTAGCTTTTTTGCTTTTACTATACATTTATTTGTGCCTATTCATTGCACAGTATTCAAAGTAACTGTCTCTCTAAGAAAGGACTATTTCATCACCAATTTCCCCCTGGTTTTTGCCCAATTATTTATGGAATTTATGGCATTCTTGTGGTTGTATAAAGAGCATGGGGTGGAGGGAAGGAAGGCAAGAGAAATACCACTCTGTGTGATTACAAAAACAACAGTCTGATTTATGTCCTTAAATGCTTCTGTTCAGCTCTGCTTTTTTCCCTAAAATAAATTCCTGGAAATAGAATTAAGTGTCATGAATGCAATTTGTTTGAAGTGATGAGCACATGCTCCCTGCAGAAAGACTCCTCCCATCCACACTTGCACCATACAGCCTGGGAGGGGAGTAGTCTCCCAACACCCACACCCCTGGTCATTTATGGTCATTGGTCACTGTTTGTCTTCTACTGCCCCAACTGTACAATAGGGCACTGTTCCTCAATCCTCCCAATGACTGTGAACCATGTAATGGGTCCAATAAAATTCAACTGGGTCTGCCACACTGACCCCTTCCCGTATTTCTGTGATGTTGTTTCTGAATATTTTAAACCTCATCTTGAGTAGACCAAACGACTTAAAAAAAATAAATGCTGAGAGCTTTTGACAGCCGAGGAGATAGGAATCTAAGAAAGAATCATATTTTTTTTGTTCCACTCATACCATCATTCAGAGGATGATGGGTGAGTAGGCAACCACAGAAAGGTCCCCCCAAGGATGGGTGTCCAGCCACAGGGTCAGCCCTCCCAACTCGGGGTCCACTGGAGTCTCTGGTCTGACTCTGAAGGCCTGGTGACCTGGACACAGGAAAATGTCCACCATAACTAAATATATTTTCTTCTCTTTTCTCCCTTTGGGGCCTGAAGGGCTCATCTTATGCGAGAGGAAACCCATTGAAGCATCAATTAATCTGAAACACTTTTAAGAAAATGGCGTATAGCAAATTTGGCTCAAGTCTAATCACATCCCTTGATGTCAATGACTAAGGTGTGGCCTCCAAACACCAACGTTTAAGAAGATATTTGCCAACCTAACTAGTCATAAATATTACCAACTAAATATAGATCGTTCATGCTTTCTCCCACTGTTGCATTCGTCTGCCCATCTTTGCCTACTGTTTGTAAGAGTTCTTTGAATATTATAAAGACAACAGTCCCCCTCTCCATTATAAATTTTGTAAATGTGCCCCCTAGATTATCTTTTACTTTTGCATGTAATATTTCTGACACACAGCAGTTCTGGTGTCCTTTGCTGGGAAAATGCCATGCCCAGCTTTTAGATGAATGGAACATCCAGTTATGTCAGCGTCTGGAGACAATTTCGGTTGTCACAATTGCAGGGAGGGTTGAGGGGTGGTGATCCTACCGGAATCTGGAGGGTGGAGACCAGGGATGATGCTCAGCACCCCACAGTGTACAGGATGCCGCACCACAGAGAATGTGGACAGCCCTACATGTCAGTATGTGAGGTGGAGAAACCCTGATCTGTTTACTTCTAAGATTTCCCTATGCTTTAAAATTTTACCTTTACATTTATGATCTACCTGGAATTCATTTGGGCACATGCTTACCTTGTATATTAAAAGGATCACATCATTGCCTTTGTCTGATATATAGATGTGATGAATTACATTGACACAATGGACTATCCTAGCTTTCTTAGAATAAGCATCATTTATTTCTTTACTATAGAGCCTGAGTTGCCTTGTTGTATTCTGTATTTGAGGGGCTTTGTTCATCTATATGTAAACACAATTAAACTTGTAAATCAAATTTGGGTGTCAAGATTAGGACAATTTCTTAAAATAAATTAACACATTCATTTTTTTGTAGGCTCAGAGATTGTTTTTATTGCATGGACATTAATTCATCGCGGCCAATTTAATAGAAAATCTCTTATAACTGCCCAAATCCAGGATCTTTCTACCAGACAAGACTTTGATAACATTTTCAATTTCTCCCATGGTTACTGGTGAGCAGAAGCTGTCTCCTTCTTCTGGTATCAATGTGGGTCATCTGAATTTCCCTAAAAGGATCAAACATTGCTTCAATACTGTCAATATTATCAGTAAAGTGTACTAGAGAGTATTTGCTTTCAAAATTTAAATTTCATCCTAATGACTACTTTTTCATTTCAATTTTGAATATTTCTGTTTTCTCTAGTCGAAAGCTTATTTTTAAATAATCCAAAACTCAGATTTGTTCCTTGTTCCCAATTATCAGTTTTTGTTTTTTCCTTTATGAACTTATTCCTTCTGTTTGCTTATGTATTTTTTGTTTGTTTGTTTTATATAAAAAATTTTTTAACTGGATAATTTCTTCA